TGAACACCCCTACGTGCAAGTATATTGATGATATGATCAATATCTTCAGGTCTTTGAGTGGGGAAAATCTCATCCAGTGCGTTGAAATTACTTATCACAAGACGTTGTAAATTAGGTACCTTTTTAAAGAATTTAAAAGGCAAAGTAGCTCCAGCTTCATAGGAATCACCAAACCACAGCTCCAGAAATTTCAGTTTATGAAGCAGGCCATCAGGAAAATGCCCATGTGATAACATCTTCATGTCTTTCCCATTGAGTGTCAAAGTTTCCAAGTTCGGAATAACCTATTAATGAAAATAGACAAAAAAGAATAACCAGTATTACGATGATAGATACGAGAGGGGGAAAAAAAAAAGTAAAGGGATAATGCAAATGAAGATTAAATTGCCTTGTCAGCGATGCAAAGAGATTGTCTGCTAGTTGTAATGTTAGATTCATCCTCACATTCTACTGCTCCTTGGTGGATTTGAAAATCTGATGCGAATGTGTCTAACTTACCACAACCAAACACACATAGATTCTCCAAGCTGGGAAATTTTAGATTGTATCTTCTAGGATAGAAGAGCTTGAGGCTTGGTAAATGAGCCAAAGTCAAAGTGGTTAAGTAAGGGAATTCAATTATGCTAACTCCATCTGCCACTGCTTCTTCTTTTCCAACAATTTCTTCCAACGCGTGACATCGCCTTATTTCAATTTTCTTCACTCTCATCAGATTTCTTGCCAAAGATGCTGGGAAAAGAGTTTTTATACCCGCACAATCATTAACAACTATTTCTTTTAGATTCGGAAAACTTACAATACTTTGAGGATCTTTGTTCCATATACACTTCAAATTCTGCAGGCCATTCAAAGTCATTCTTCTCAAATGAAAGGGTTTTCCCTTCGTTTCTGTCAAACTGCTGCCATCAATATCAAAAATAACCTCCACTGGACTCGAACTTACTTGCAATTCCTCCAGGTTCTCAAAGCAAGGAAGTAACCTAGTAGCAAATACTGCTGTTGACAGAAACGAACAGTTCTCCACTACCAATTCTCTTAGATTGTTAAAGCAGTTTCCTGGTGGGGAAATTTCACCGTACCATAGTTGTTGTAGCTCAGGATGATAGGAAAGTTTCAAATTTTGACAGAACTCAAAAAGAACCTACAAAATCAAATAAATTTAGACGTCATTAGACTAGTCTCAATAAAATACTAGGAAAAAATTTTTTCCACCACAAGAATAAAAGTCTTTCCCTTGACTTGGATGATTAATTATACTATTTCTAAGAACATGGAGATAGCTCTGGAAGTGGGTATATTTGAGAGACAGGAAATGTGAAGATTATAAACGCAAGGAAAAAAGGTAACAGAATAAAATAAGATATATAATACAGAAACGAAGGGAATTAATAGCCTTTAGAATTCAGACTATCATGTAAAATAATATTGATACCTGAATTTAAATTCTCACAGTAATTAATCCTGCCATTTAAACACTTGCAATATATATTGATATCTAATAAAAAATTTATAACCACTTTTTGCACGTACCTTGTGTGTAAAAATCTTTTGGATTGTAGCATTCAAATCACCTTCCCATAACCATTTATTTCCCTCTTCTCCTTCTAAGGGTGTGTTTGGTTGGAGGGGAGAGGAGGGGAGGGGAGGGAAAATGAACCCCTCCCCTCAAGGCCCTCATTTGGTTAAAAATTTTAGAGGGGAGGGGCCCCTCCCCTCATTTTGGCTCCCCTCCAAATTGGGGGTTTTTGGAGGGGAGCCAAATTTTTGGACCATTATACTCTTATAGTTTTTTTAATATTCCACTTCTACCCATAAAATATATTATTATAATATTTATTTCAAATAAAAAATATATTATCCTAAGTAAAAAAATAAAAAATATATACATTATTATAATTAAAATATATTATAAAAAATTATTTAAAAATAAAAAATTATAATATTATAAAATTAATTTTTTTATAAATATATTATTTATTAAATATATTTTAAAGCTGGAAAAAAAGATAGCCTAAAGAGAATAAAATTTCATTTTCTTAGAGCATATAAAATTTGTTAATTTGATTATTTTAAATATATTATTATATTAATTAGAATAAAAAATTACTGTACCAATTTTTAATACACATATTAATATGATAAGACTGAATTTTTATTAAATTATATGATTTAAATTAAAATGTAAATTAATTTATATAATATATCAATAAAAAACATAAACTAATATGTAAGGGTAAAAGGGTAAATTGATTATTACTATCCCTCCCCTCCCCTCCTTGAACTAAACAAGGGATCATTAAATATCCTCCTCTCCCCTCCTTTTTAATCAAACCAAACAAGGTGAGGATAAAACCTCCCCTCCCCTCCCCTACCCTCCCCTCAAACCAAACAGGCCCTAAGATATCAACTTTATCTAAGCTTGGTGTGCTAATTTTCTCGGAAAATTTTTCTAACTTAAGGCACTCGCTCACTTTCACCCTTTCAAGAGACGGAAACGTAAAGACAGCTTCACTCTGGGAGTTACAAAAACTTGTAAGGTTTCTCAAAGACACAAGTTCTAAACTTTTCAATTTGCAAAAAACAACCTCATCTTGTTTCTCTCCTTCATTCTCCTCCACTGTGACAATTTCCTCCATCATTGCACATTGAGCAACCTTCATGGTAGTCAGTCGAACCAGGGATTTTGCAGTTGATGAAGTCAATAAATTCCTTAATCCGTCACACTTGCTGACTTCAAGATATGACAAGTAAGTCAATTCTAGGGAGGACGGAATTAATTTTGTCGAATAGTAGCATTCCACAATGCATAGATTCTCAACTCTTTGAAGAATGGCGCCATTTTCAAAGCCTATATTCAATGGAATATCTGAGAACTCTACAGTCATGTTTTTAGGTTGTACAACAGTTCCAATTTTCTCGAGGGAAACATGACCTCCTTTAGGCATCACCTCTTTGGTAGAATTCCTCAAATTTAGGCTTTCTAGATTAGGATATCTATGGAGAAACCAAAAGAGAATTTCAATGCTGCTTAATCCATCAAAAGTTAGGTCTTTCATTGAAAGCATCAGATTAACATTATTGCCAATGATGGTGTCCCGCAACCTCTTTATTTCCTTCAGCCCAAATATGGCTAATGTTTCCAAGTTGGATATCACCTAAAAATCATCATGGCAAAAAGAGAAAAGCATAACTTTAGAAGAAGAAAACATATATATGCTATTGCATAGATAAAGAAAATCATAGGTTTAAACATATGTACTTTTTTGCCATCATGTTGCAAAAGGAACAAAAAAAAAAAGAAAAAAGAAAAAACACAGCACAAGTGTGAGTAAAGTAGATGTACTGCCTTTAAAAAATTTATATATACTTCCAAATATCTTGTCAATAATGATGCTCTTGTACCTTTACTAAAGATGAGAGAAATGGTTTCACTTCAGAGCATTTTGTTCCAGCACCCAATGTTTCCAGCTTGTCACAACGACCAAATAACAAACAAGTCAATACTTGAAACTCTATAGTATGTGTTCCCTTATAGAAGCGCCTTAGTTCTGGTAGATTTAACAATAGAAGTGTGGTTAGCTTAGGAAACTTATTAAACATGAAGTTGCTTCCATCTGATGCATAACCCCTGGCTACAATTTCCTTCATCCCATCACAACGCCCTATCTGAATGGTCTCCAGTTTCATTAGATCATTGGCAATAGAAAGTGGAAACAGATATTCTAGCCTTGGGCAACCAGTGACAACTACATGTTGTAGACCTTTAAAGTTCAAAAGTCCTTGAGGTGTAAACTGCAAGTCGAATATCTCTTCCATTGACTTACAATCATTGACCTCTAATATGCTAAGATTATGAAATCTTCCTGCCATGTAAGGAAGGAAAATAGTGACAAGTTTGTGACAGTCGTCAATTATCAAAGACTCCAAACTGCAAAAGGAATTCATGCTAGCTCGGGCATGCCATATAGTTTTCAATTCCTCCATGTTGGTGATTTTAATTTTCTTCAATTGAGGAAAGACGTCAACCTCCTATGTATGAATCAAAGTAGTCATTATGTAACCAAAATAATTAACAAAAGAAAAATAATGCCTAATTTTTTTGTCTAATCAAATCCAATGCAGCTACATACCTGGCCTGTGCTAATGTCTTTCGGTTCAAAAATATCTTTCATCATGTCACATCCGCTTACAAAAAGGCTTTGCAATTTCATTAAATTCCCAACCATTGATAATGAAAATAAGTATTTTAAACCACCACAATTATTCACATTCAAGTTGGTCAAATTTTGAAAGGAGGAACTTGGCAACGGTTGGTCACCCCACACTTTCTTGATATTGACTGAGGACAACTCCAAGCTCTCTAGGTTGGGAACGAAAACCTACAAAAGCTCACAAGAAATTCCATCCTCTAAAATAACTGAAATAATTTTTCATAAATCAAGTTCTATAGAAGAGTAAAACTTTATAAGCCAAGCCATCTTCATTGATTTTAAGGTGAATATGATTTAAAACGTATAAATTGAAAAGTAAAGAGAAATATATGTATTGAAAGTTCATTGCATATACATACCTTTGTGTTAAAGAGTGGAATCCATTCAGTAATTGTCTCGACCTTGTCATTTGCGTAGAAACAAGTTAGTTTTGATAAAGAGTGCAACGTCAAATAACGTAATAGAGGAAATGAAATTCTACTGCCTTCTGCATCATTGCCAATATTCTCTTGCCTCTCTACATCAACAATGTCCTCCAAAGAATCACATTCAGAAACTTCAAGTGTTTCAAGCTCTTTGAGAAGTCTAGCCATGTCAAGTGAGAATAGATGTTTTACTTGGCCACAAATGTTGATCTTCATGGTTTTTAAATTGCACAAAGAGTCATCTATGAGTTGACAATTGCATATTTCCTCTAGGCTCTCTAGTTTGTACAAACATATTGACTCCAAAATGGGAAAAGCAGTCACTCGATGTTTCCTGTTTGGTGAGAAGATAATATTTTGTATGTCAGAATTTTTTTCTAATGGTTAGATGCTTAAGATTCTGAAATCCTTCCACATTTAACTCATAGGTAACATAATGAACACCATCTACTTCCCCTAAAAGCAATTGCTCAACACCTTTAAACAACTTTTTAATCCCTCTTTGCAAATGAATGTCATCGCCTTTTTTTAGATGCAATGCCAAAACTCTTGAAGTCTTATATTGATGAGACATATGAAAATCTTCCAACAAAAACATCTTAGAGTCTCCAATCACAATGTTGTAGCTATCCAACTTGTCAAAGTCCAAGCTACTGGGCAAAGTAGTAATATCTTCTATGTGCATATCAAGACTTCTCAACTGTTGAAGAGATTCCAATTCGGCAAGGGTAGCAATTTCATCAGGATTTGTTTTTCGTTGAACACCCCATTGGATGAAGGTTTTTCCCATGTACAACTCTTCCAAATTATTCAACTTTGATATTACATTAGATGGAATCACTTTAAGTTTACTACAATGACTAATGTCAAACAATTGTAGCTTGCTCAATTGCCTAAATTCGCTTGGCAATAATTCAAATTTAGATCCCAAAAGGCTTAGAATTCTTAAACTCTTCAACTCACCAATGATGGATATGTTGTCATCTAGCACACATTGCTCCAAACAAAGCATTCTAAGCTTTATTAGGCATTTAACCGAAGAAGGGAACTTTGATAGATCAATACCTGTCAATATTAACGCTCTCAATTCTTTCATTCCTTCAAAAAGCTTGTCTGGTATTTTCATGGAAGGATCTTTACTATCAAGATGGAAGACTTCGAGTTGAGGGAAATTTACATCTTCTGGAATCCCATCAATGATGTCACAATATTGCAAAGAGACAACAGTGCACTTTTCAAATGTATCCTTTCTAGGCCATTCATCAAGTTTGACATATTTCTGGGTAAAAAAATGTTCCTCCTTGTGCGCTATAATTAAGGCAGCATCACGGATCATATCATGCATAGTAATACAATCCGGAGAATTAGTATCCAACAACAAGCTTGAGTCTTTTAACTTCTTTATAGATTCGTTTGCTCTATCTTGAGCTTCTTTTATTGTATTGACTCCTTTAAATATGCTTAAGCCGATGCAATATTTCACCAAATACATAATTGATGAATCATTACCCAGATGAGCGCAAAGCAAGAAAATAGACTTCTCTTCACTTAGTAGGAAGTCATAACTTAACTTCACAGAAATCTCCACCGGTCCTAATACTTCAGTCATATCTTGCCTTTCAAATCGTTGCAGTGCATTTCCCCAGAAGACTTTGTTCTTACTATTCTTCAAAGCTTTTCCAGCTGCTTCTATTGCTAACGGCAACTTTGCACATTTTTGAACAATTTTAGTTGCTAATGATTTCAACTCAGAATCTTCATTGGTTATTCCAACCACCTTGTTGAACAGCTTCTCGGATTCCTCTTCCTCCATGACGTTCACTTTAAAAACTGAATCCTCCCTTGCTTTCATTTCACTTGACAATACCTCTTTGCGTCGAGAAGTCAACAAAATCTTGAACCATTTGGAATCACTCGCCATCTTGTCGTCTTTCAATTGGTTGTGACTAATATTTGGCATATTAGCTATTGTTTTCTGGTTGATGTCATCATCCTTCAATGGAATGCCCAACATACTCATGTCAAATCGAGCCCAAAGATCATCCAAGATGACTAAGGTGTTCTCCTTCTCCTTCCTCAATCTCTGTTTCAAATGACCCGCTCGTCCATTCTTGCTCTCATCATCCAATCTCAAGCCCAGCATGTCCGCTATTTCTCCTTGTATCCTTCTTACATCAGGTTCTGTTGTAATATTCGCCATAACCACAACATTAAATAGCCTTTCTGCTTTAGCTTTCCTTGCAATTGCTTTAACTAAAGTGGTTTTGCCGACACCGCCTTGTCCATAGATACCAATCATTTTAATTGTGGGATCACTCAGCGCTTTCATAACCTGCTCCACAATGACATCTCTTGATTTAAATGACTCATAACCATCATCATGAAGAGCAACATTTGATGCTTCTGGCTCTGGACGGTAAGAAAAGGCAGGAAAGTTTGACTCTTGCAGCAGATCATCGCACTGTTGAACCATCTTCTGCGCTTGTTTACCAAGCTTACGCCTTAAATATAGGTTGGGAAACGAACCACTGGAGCTCCTTGTCCTCTTCTGGCCTTTATTAGTTAGGAACTTCTGAATTTCATCAATCTTCTCATCTGTCTTCGTCAACCAGGTAGTGACAGGATCGTGAATGTTCTCAGCATTTCTTTCAGCTTCTTCAACTTGAGCCATGACGCTGGTCTTTCGATCACGGAGATCCTGTACACGACTTTGCAGCTTCTGAACATTGCTTTTGTAGTTGCGAATGTAGCGTAGTTGTCGTTTAACAGGTTCCACCATGCCACCCAGCACTGTCCCGAAAAAGGTCGCTAAAAACTCCATTCTTCTTAATCCTTTTTTGGGTTTTCTTCTTTTAGTTTTTCTTGAATTTTTTCTTCTTTTTTTTTTTTTGGGATTTTCTTCGGGTACTCTGGAATAACTTTCTTTCTAAGATAGGAAAACTAGACGGCAAACAAGGACGAACTAGAACATGAACAAACGGAATGCGCTGTGGTTTTGAAAGGGTGAGTGACTGAAGTGAAGTCACTGGACAAGCACTGCGCAGAAGACAAACACAAAGGGATGACCAATACGAAGAACGCGGTGGAAAAAGCAAGTGATGCAGGTTCAGAAAGTAAAGATCAGAGAGAAATAGAAAGGCGTTAGGAGAGAATGGTGGTTTGGTTCGACTTGCAGATAGCAACGTATGGTTTTAGGCTACAACAAAGGGAGGAGGGAAGACTTCAAGTATTCAATATTTGAAGGAATATCTTAATTTTTATTTTGAATTGTCATAATCGAACCTCCAATCTTTTTCCATTGTTTGGGAATAAAATTAAACAACTTGCATATTCTAATAAAATATATGAATTTTTTTTTAAAAAATGCCTTCCAGAATATAATACTGTCTGTCAGTTATAACTAATATAATTTTTTCCGTAAATTTTATATTTTATACCAATTTATTTTAATTCATTATTAGTAAAACTGTTCTTTCATATTGATTTTAATTGTTGCCGGCAAAAAATTGATTTTAACTGTTAAGTAATGTGAAAATCGGCACAAAATAAATGTAAAATTTTAAAAATTAAGAATTACATAAATTCAAGAAATTATACTGTTACAGATATAAGTAATATATTTTTTTATATTTTATATCAATATTTTTCAACTTATAGAACAAAAGAAAAGAATCAAATTTTACAAGGAAAAAGACAGTTAAACCGCTGAATAATTCAAAATTCAAATCATTCCCCAAAATGAAAAATGCAATACAAATCTGACAAACTCAATTATTTTTATATATTTTGGTATCTTTTATGTGAGTTTTGTCAGCTTAATTGGTCCCTTTTTGCCTTAATTGATTTAATATGTTTTATTTTAAATTATTATTTTTTAGGGGCAAAATTGTCATATTTTGGTTTTAATTGTGACTAATTGATTTTTGAGGACCATTAATGCTACCTTATCCTTGAATTTTGTTTGCAGGTTTTTAGAAGATTTAAAAATAAAAATCAAAAAATATATATATATATATATAATAATAATAATAAAAGGGGGAGCAAAACGCAAGGTTTTGCCCCCCAAACCTAATATACTATAATTCTTCTTCACACACAAGGCAAGGTGGAGGCGCGGCTGGGGCAACACACACACACGCAAGGGAGCAGGGGCGGCGGAAGAAAAATTGAGAGAGGACACGAGAGGCACAGCAGCGTGAGCAAGACGCGAGACAGGAAGCCCATTCGCCATCATCATCGTCTCTTTTATCTTCGTTTGTGCTATCTGTTATGGCTTTAATCGCTGAAGCATACGGTGAGCTTCAGTGATGCAAGGGCATGGCTAAATCCTTCAATTCTCTGGCACAATATTTATGGCTTGAACTTGAAACTTCAAAGGGGAGTTTCAACTCTTCTAATCTTTACTTCTTTCATTATAATTGTGATTTCTAGGTCTTAGAATGAATTTTATAATGTTTGAATGGGCTGTGATGATTTATATTTTGTATTGAGATTAGTTGTAGTTGTTTAGAATCTTTGATTAGCATTTAACATTATGCTGTAATTAGCTTTAATTTCTTACATTGTACTGGGTCAGACTATGTTTTGAAATTATTGTGAACATTTAGTGGTAATTCAAGGTGGCTTGGTTATTGGACTAAAAATGTTAATTGCTTTTCTTTGATTTTCTTTTGGCTAATTGTGTTGAAACAGTTTAATTGTGAATAATTAATATGCAAGGTGGCTTGGTATTGATTATTCTAATTAAACCGAGTCTAGGGGGTGGCCCTTAGAGTCTTTTGAATTTAGCTAACTCCCCAAATTAATTGAAGTAATGATAGCCTTAATCATTGTGCTAGAGGATTGCTCTTCTAGTTGCCTGTCACTTGTTAATTCTCTTTATTTGTTTCATTCATATCCATTTTATAAACTAAAAATCCAAAAATTATTTACTCATTTTGCATCCTTTTAAATTTTGCCAATTAGTTAATTAAAAGAAAATCAATCCCTTTCCAAGTCAATTTTTTATTTTGATACTTAGTTGCTTAGGATTTCAAATAAAGGCTCCTCAAAGTGAAACGACCCGAGTTTTGTACTATATTGCATTACTTGGATTTATTTTTGATTGGGAACCCCAAGGCAAACGACAAAGGCTCTCATCAAAATCCTAGGGAATTAAATTGGAATTTCAAATTTTGGTGAATTGATTTTGCTGCTCTTTCAATTTCATGGAATTGAGCAGGAAAAAACCAGTACAAAAGCCCTGTCAATGTTATGGAAACGAATTCTCTTTCATGGATGGCACCTGGGTGGTCACATGCAACATGGTCAGCCATCTTTCAATTTTATATTTAGCCAAAAGCAGAAACATTTTTACGAGTAAAGTTGATGAGTGTCTATTAGTTTAAAAATTAAAGTTAATTTAATTTAGTTTCTTTCTTAAAGCTAAATACTCCTTCTATTATCAAAATATAAGCAATAAATTACAAGAATCCTTTATCATCAGATATAAGCAATACTACAGATTTTCAAGAATATTTAATATATTGTCTTGACAAAAATGTCTCTTATAGATATCTATAAAAGGATTTTCTAATTTCTAACAGAAAATAATAACGATGGTCTATCGGTCCAATTACATATTTTTATTGGGCAATATTAAAAAGATTAAAATACTGAGGGTTGGTAAATTCACAGTTGCCAACACATGCATGTGGGCAAGGTTTAGGGATGCTTCAAATAAGACAAAAGGCTTCACTGCCTAGCAAGTACCAGGAAGCTCATTGGATCACTCCATTTCAGTAATCAAATCCTATCCCCCCCCCCCCAAAACAAAAAAAAAACACCTTTTACTAATGTTTGCTTTTCCCACAATAACTTGCTTAACAACACTTGGAATATCCAGCCAAAAAGGACATAATCTTCTTTATAAGTTATTTTACAAAATTTATGAAGCAATTTTCATAAAATCGATCGATCAACTTTCCTGATCAACAATAAAGTTCAACACAGATGACTGAGTTCTCTTGACAGGGGATTAAATTCCTGGCTATGTGTATTTGGGGGGGAAAAAACTTGTTGGGAGAGGCAAAGCTTATTGTTGTGATATCAGCATCTCAAAAGGCTTTGTCGACTGAGGATATCTTTGGAGAGCACCAAAAAAAAAAAAAAAGAATAAAAGCCACCCATATGAAGAATTAGAGGTAGTGTTTACATTGATATTAAAACTAGGATAGTGTTAGAAAAAAAAAAATATTAATTGTCTTGTTTGAAGCATCCCTAATCTCGTGATTATGGAGATTCTCACTAAATGATGCAAGATCAACGTTCACGCGTGATCCTCGTAACCTTAACTATGACCCTGTGCCCACATGCATATGTTTTGGAGACTGCGAAATTACGACCCCTCCTTTACATTTTTTTTTTTTTTGGGCCAGTCCCTCCTTTCCATTATTACGAACAGGTAAATTAAATTCGATTTTGATAGCGGAGACAATGGAACTAGGACCCCCGCTGGCCCCATATATGTTTTGATACTGGAAGAAGTATTCAGCTTTAATTTTTAAATTAATTAACTTGTAAATATAAGCTGTTTAAATTGCAAATCTAAGAATTTAATTTACTTGTAAATCTATTTGTAAAATTTGAATAAGGGGTAATTCACTTTTTTGCAAATGAAAAAGAAGACATTCAAGACCTTGAGACTTCTCCCTGTTTCAACAAATTTGCGGGATTAATCTTCAAATAAATCTCTTCACAATAGCTATATATCAATTGTTTGTTTTTTGTTGTCTAGTTAGATCAGCTATACTTCCATTGGACTCTTCGCATATCTTTCAATATCCAAATTGATATTTAGAAACTATGTCGCCTTTTGGTTATCAATGTAATATTCTACCAACAAAAAATGAAAAGAAACACACAAAGTTAAAAGAGCTATCACTATTATAGATACATCATATTTGCTCCGAATAAATGCTTCATGGTTTCAAAGCATTAAATATTAGGAAAATCCTCAAGAAAATACCTCTTAAATTTCAAAATTTCAAATCAGAAATTACTACAAAATTATTTTGTCATTTGCTTTTAAAAGGTAGTCAATTATTATTAAATAAAGTATAGTAAACTAAACAAGACTTATTTAGAATTTTGAAATTCAATAGATTTTTTTAGGAATTTTTCCTTAAATATTTGAAGACATTTTTTCCCAAAAATTTGAAGACATATTTAACTGTCAGGTGACAATAACTTGTAAATAAAGTTTCCTTAATCCAGCCAAAAAGGACACGTATGCAACTTAAGAACTACTTTCATTCTATTTATAAGTTATTTTCTAAAAAAAATTTTATAATCTTATTTATAAGTTCATTCACAAAATTTATGACACAATTTTTATGAAATTGATTATCTTTCTTGATCACCAACAAAATTCAACACACATAACTGAGTTCACTTATTAGGGGATTCAATTCCTAGTCATGTATGTGCACCAAAAAACAGAACATCTTATTGGAAGAGACAAATCTTGGCTTATACTATCCTTGATTCTAAATATAAGAACTAGTTTAACATTTAATTTGGTTCTAAATATAAGATCTCTAATCCAATTTGTCTGTTATATTTATCTTTTTTTTAAAATAGTCTTTATATTAGTTATACATATTAAAGGTTTCATCAAATAGTAATTCTAACAAATACACATAATTAGCAAGAGTATTCTAGAGAAAATAACATATATTTATTACAAATAATTAACTTAACAAATTTTCTTAATCTATTTAAATTAAGCAACTAGTTCTTATATTAAGGTTGAAATGTGGCATCTTCTTGTGATCTCTCTAT